GGATAAAAGACAAAACATTTCAACAAGAAGAATCTGTCCAGAGGGCCTGACTCAACCTTGTTAGATTCATCTACCTGGATTATTGAACATGCATCAGGACAAGTAGAATACATGTATTACATATTCAGCTTTTGGTACTGGCAGTGTGGACAGGAACCAAGTCCTGCTGGAAAATGAAATCAGCATCTCCATAAAGCTCGTCAACAGAGGGAAGCATGAAGTCTCTAAAATGTCCTGGTTGATGATGTGTTGACTGTGGACTTCGTAAAACACAGTGGACCAACACCAGCAGAGGACATGGATCCAAACCATCACGGACTGTGGAAACTTCACACTGGACTTCAACAACATGGATTCTGGGCCTCTCCACTCTTCCTCCAGACTCTGGGACCTTGATTTCTAAATTACATAAAAAAATTAATCTGAAAAGAGGCCGTTAAGACCACTGAGCAAGAGTCCAGTTCTTTGTCTCCTCAGCAGGTAAGACACTTGTGACGTTGTCTTTGGTTCAGGAGTGGCTGGACTTGAGGAATGAGACAATTGTAGCTCATGCCTAGGAGTTAATCAGCTGATCAAGGTGTGACACCAGGAGTTTACAATATTGAACCTCTTCACAATATTCCAATTTTCTGAGAAAATGAATTTTGCTTTTTCATTATTTGTAATAATAATAATAATAATGTCATCACAATGTCAGCACTGTATGTTTCCATACAATGGCGAAATTAGTCTCTGCATTTAACCCATCCACCACCAGGTGGTGCAGTGGGTGGCTATTAGGTGCGCCGGGGCGGGGGGGGGTTATTTTGGGGGATGAGGTGTCTCTGGGCAGCACACCACGTGATGTGCAGTGACTGGGGATCGAACCTCCGACTTTCGGGTCCCAAGCCGGCTGCCCTGCCTCTACACCATAAGTTATAACTGTCAAAATTACAAGAAATAAAAGCTTGAAATATTTCAGTCTAATGAATTGATCTATGAAGTATGAGTTTCACTTTCTGAAATGATAAACAAAGAAAATTGGCACATTTTCACAATGTTAATTTTTTTTCAGATGCACCTGTAAATATCAAGAGAAGACTCACCAAGACTCAAAAACACCCACAGGCTGCAGTTCAGTTTTTGTGCACAGGCAATTCTTTATTAATGTGTAGAGTATGAAAAGATGATGTGCACATGAAAAATTACAACCTCTGACTGATGTCTACAAAGACAAAACTGTCAAAAGTGTGACCTGTAAGTGTGCACCTGTACTGCCTGTTACGGTCCAGTTTCATGGACAGTAGGTGCAGGCTGACCTGGACTGAGCACTGGCCCAGCATGTTCTCATTAAGCAGCCTCAGCTGGAGGGTCAGTGACCAGTTCCAGGCTGATAACATGATCAGCTAAAGGCTCGCCTCCCCTCCCCCCCCCCCCCCCCCATCTCTTCATCTGATGTCTGTGTTACATAGTTGTGGCCTTCTATAAAAGTAAGAGCAATCTTCTTCAAGTTCTGGGCCTCTTACCATCATTTACACATTTTAAGAACTTAAGGCTGAAACCTGCTAATCTTGCTTGTCAATTAATTCAAGCTTTATTTATACAGATTAATCCCATTGAGTCTCGGGGACTCATTTACAAGAGAGACCTGGTTTTAACAAGGAGTGATGGCAACAGTGGACAACAATAGACAATCATAAAAGGATGCATACAAATTGAGAATAACAAGTGAAAATAAAATGGTATTTAAAAAATGTAACCCCCCCCCCCCCAAAAAAAAAAAAAAACCCTGCTAAATTAATAATGCATCTTATCTCTTAATCACACTGACTGAATTTTTCAGATTTTTTTTTTTTTTTTTTTAGATTAACTTTTTTTTTCTTTTCTTTTCTGGAAACCAAAGAAATCTTCCAGAATCCTAATGCATTCATTTGACCAAATCTTCTGGTTCATCAATCTAAGACCATCTAGAAGAGTATAAACCATTCTGATAAGAACACGTCAAGGCAGATGCTTCTATAAACACTGTACAAAGATGGTCTCCATAGACAATGGCTGAGGAGACTATCTTGGCTGAAGAGAAAACCATAAATTCAGCGAGGAGACAAAATTTGAGTGATTTGGAAACTTGTGGCTAAGTTTGTTAGGCTCCACATCTACTTAACTATTATATATTTTACTACTTTTGTTTACCCTGATCTTTGCTGTACTGGGAGTAGTCTAGCTTTGTCATAGACACAAAGGATAACCTTATTCATTCACTCAGTAATCCAAAGCCACAAATGGCAACATAAAGGGAACACCCTTATTTTTTGACTTTTGCTTCTTTTCGTGAGGCAAACGAGAAAGGGTCAAGGACCAACATGCAAACATGTCTGAGTAGACAAAGGGAACTGTCTGAATTATCTATGAATTAAAATTCTCTTAATTCTGAATTAAAATTTTACAATAAGCTTATAACTAAAACCAATAAATAATAAATAATAAAACCAACTGGTTTTAAAACCAAAGCAGACATGTTCCTGTTTTGAGCATTTTACATTGCTTTATAATGTAGCGGTTTGTTTCATTTTTCATATAATTTCTTGTATTTACATTTTTTATGTATTTATGATTGCCCAAGTCTGTACCTCATCCATGATCTTTATTTAAAACAGATCGCTCTTGCGACTCAGTGTGACTAACCTATAAAGGTTGAATGAATGGATGAAAATTAATTTTGCCACTTTCATTACAAAGGAAATCTAAAATCAGTCATAAATGTGTTGTTTTGTTCATAAGTTTGAGGCTGATATTAAGACGCAGCTCTTGATGTATAAAAACTAATCTCTTGTCTGATAAGATTGCCTTCATCCTCTAAAAGGGCTGCAAAGTTACACTTGCCGTGGTTTGATCACACCTTTTGTTGCGTTAACAGTCTGCGGCCAAGCAAGCAATCAGTTTTGAGCCTGTGGTGTTGCACAAACAAGCTCTAATGAGTATGGATTTTAAAAGAATGAAGTTGCATCATTGCAAAATTCAAGGAAACCATAATACATTTAAGTCTTAATGGATGTAAATATTTGTCATTGATATAATGGAATTTTATATATACCATACCACTTTATTTATAAAGCACTTAAAACAGCAACAAGGCCAACCAAAGTGCTGTACAGACAAAACAGGTAACACAAAAAGCAAAATATGAATAAATGAAATGAGGTAAATCAGAATATAGACATAAAAACGATGCAGATAATGACAACAAACCAGTGTGGAGCATACAGGATCAAAACACAGATCATCTTGTGTTGAAAGCTACTGAATAGTAGTGAGTTTTTAAACGGGACTTGAAAACCGAGAGGGAGGGGGCCGGTCTGACAAGCAGAGGTAACTCGTTCAAGAGTCTTGGTCCTGCTACAGAGAAGGCCCCGTCACCTCTGCGCTTAAGACGAGTTCCTGGAACTGTGAGGAGCAACTGGTCCGCTGACCTCAGGGAACGTGGTGGGACATACGGTTGTAGCAGATCAGAGATGGGGAGGGGGGGGGGGGACACTGTTCAGTGATTTGTAGACATACATGAGTATTTTGAACTGGATTCAAAAGTGAACCGGTAACCAGTGCAGTGAGGCCAAAACTGGTGTGGTGTGCTCTCTTTTGCCTGTACTGGTTAAAAATCAGGCTGCTGCATTCTGGACCAGTCGTGCAATGGAGGTCTGAATGATACCAAACAGGAGTGATTTACAGTAATCAAGCCTAGATGTAATGAATGCGTGTATTACTGTCTCCATATATGATAACAGGCTTGTTCCGAACGTAGTGAGCAAAGTGTGTGAAGGGCCGTACAGGAGCACCAGTGAAAGGAGCTAAAATTGAAGACTGTGAATCAATGAGGTACAAGACATTTTTATTTTGAGGTCCTCATATTTACAACAGTTTGCCAAAAGCAATGTATCGATACATGTCAGGAAAATCGGTACCTGATGTTGGAAATTTTAACTGTCAGTTGAAACAATGCCTTAAACAAAGACAAATGAATGAACACCAGCCTATGCAGCTTAAAAATATTATATTCCCTATATGAATTCTTGCTGTTCTCCTGCCCTTATTTGCATTTTTTGTGTTTGTGCACATGCTTTTTTTCCCTCCCCGAGTCATTGATGGATACCATGAAAAACTTTCCTTACTGACTCAGTCAGAGCTTTGTGTCTGAGATATCTTTCCAAGCAGTAGACAGCAAAGGGGTCAGTCTCTGTGTCAAACTTGTTGGCAAAGAGATGGTGATTCTCAAGCAGCCATTGTACATCTCCAACTCCATATACACAAATCTCCCTGACATGTTTGCCTTGACACTCTGGATACACTGCTGACGCTGAATCCCAAGACCCCTCATGCCCATGCCACTTCACCAGTCGTGCAAGGGCATTAACATCCGACTGGTCGTATTTACTGTTTGGCCACTTTGAGCCAGGAACACTGGGCATACGTTGAATGGTTGCCCACAGAAACTCGTCAGGACTGAAGGTGTCTTTGAACCACTCAATAAGCGTTCTTATTTGAGTGTTTTCCAACACACTGCGGACAAAACCTCGAGTGACCACAATGTAGGCATTTCCTGACTTGATGGGCAGGTTAAAGGGAGGTGGATCCTTCAACTTATTTGTTATCTGAAATGATAAAAATGAAAATAACTGAGATGGGACATCAATAAGGACAAGTGCAGCATAACAAATTTTATAACAAAAGTTAAGATTGTATATATTCGCCAAAATTACCCTAATTTGTCCTTTGACAATTTTATGAACTCTTGAAATCCTCCACTTCTTTACTGCAGGTATGTTCTCTGACTCCAAGCTGTTACTGCCCCTCAGTGAACGCAGCATTCTCACCATTTCCAAGTTGGTTTTCAGAGGGAAGTCCTGACCACAAAGGTTGATGAAGTACTTCCATTTTGTACTGGCAGAATAAAGATCAGCCATACAGTTCAGGTCAGCTTGTACACGTGGCCAACCAGCATAGACCACATCCACAGCCTGACTGACCAGGAAGACGTTGGGGAAACAGGAAACAATGGCTTGGATGGCTGCGGTTACAGAGGGCTTTGATTTTTTGTCCACATGGACGCAGTAAATATTTTGTGGTGCATAGATTGCTCGCAGAAGTCGTTCAAAGTTCTGCACCTAAAGTTTAAGGGGAAAAAAAGGGGTTGTTTAGTTTTAGGCAGACATTTGACATGTTATGCTTCATTTATTATGGTATATACTTTTGAAGAGGTAAATGAAACAAACCAATAAATTGGTGAAGCAGCAGACAATTGACTTGCTCTCTTTTTGCAATACAAAGAGCATTTTATAAACTTTTGTAACTCCGAGTACCTGCTTTTATCTTAAAATACCAACTATAAAACAATGATCAATTCTTCCGAACTGTGTTACACTTGTTGACTAAAAGTTGAGCAGACTGGTGAAAATTAAATGAAAGTGCACGTTTTGAAAGGCAGTGTTGACAACATGACCACACTGCTAGTCCCATATCAGCAGGATTTGGCTCCTACTTGGATTGGATACAAGCAGAGTTTTGTAGTAGTCAAGCCATGTCAACTTTATTTGTAAAGCCCATTTAAAACAGAAGCTGTTACCAAAGTGCTTAACAAAAAAAAAAAATCAATGAGAGTAATCGAATGGGGAAAAAAAATAATAATAATGATAGTACTGAAAATTAATTAAAAACATCTAAAATAACAGAAACACAGAACAGAACAAAACAAAACAAAAAGAAAACTAAATCAAATCACACTGTGTGAAATGCCAGAGAACAGATGAGGTTTTTTGCAGATATTTAAAACCAGGAAAAGAAATGGCCTGCCTAATGTTGGGTGTGCAGATTGTTCCAAAGTTTGGGACCCATGACTGAAAAAGCCAGATCGCGTCTGAGCTTCAATTGTGTGTTTCGAACAGCCAAAAGCAGCTGATCAGATGTTCTCAGGGTCCGAGAGGGAACATATGGTCCAATAGCTCAGAGAGATAAGGGGGTGCAAGGCCATCTATGCACTTAAATATTAGCAGGGACTACAGGGAGCCAGTGAAGGGAGGATAAAACTGGTGTAATATGCTCGAACCTACGAGTTCCAGTTAAGAGCCAAGCAGCAGCATTTTGGACAAACTGGAGATGGGAAATGGAGATCTGACTGACCCCAGCATAGAGTGTGTTACAGTAGTCCAGTCGGATAGTGATAAAGGTATGGACTCGTTTTTCAAGGTCAGATCTGGACAACACTGACTTAAGGTTAGCTATCTGCCTTAAATGAAAGAAGCTTTTCTGCATAACAGTTAATCTGTTTATTAAACTTAAAGTTAGAGTCTAAAACCATCCCAAGATTTGTAACAGACTGCTTAAAATAAGGCTGAAGGGAGTCCAGGATTACAGGATCAGAGACAGCAGTAGAGCTAGGGCTAAACACAATGACTTCAGTCTTCTGATCATTAAAACTTAAAAAAAATTGAAGCCATCCATGCCTTATGTGATTAAGACATTTTAACAAAGGGTGAATAGAGCAGGAACTATTTGGTTTTAAGGGCAAATAAATCTGACAATCATCAGCATAAAAATGAAATGAAAGACCTTGTTTCCTCAGGATAGACCCCAAAGGGAGCAGACTGAAAACACAAGGGGTCCAAGAACTGAGCCCTGTGGGATCCCACAGGAAAGAGACCTTGAGGCAGAGACACTATTACCAACCTTGACACAGAAACTCCTATAACTCAGGTATGAGTGGAGCCATTCTAATGCTGCAATTGTGATCCCAACCTAGTAGGACAGAGTCATACCATTGTTTTCTCCTGCAGTAACTTGGCACAGTAACTGGCCCCTCAAAACCCATTAGATTGTAACTGGGTTGACAATTGAGCTTATCCCACAGTTTGTGGACAGATCAGAGAACCAAGTAAACAGGAGGAATTCAACTTGTTGCAGGCAGTGAAAAGACATGTGCCATCTGTGAACAGTCTTTTGTCTTGTTGAAGGCTGTACCAAGGTGCTGCCTCAGGAGGGTTAGTTCATGCAGAAGCAGGATGTTACTGACCTGCATCTGGTGACCTTCAGTCACTGTTTTGACTGACTGTTAAGGCACTCTAGAAACTGCCTGACTACACTAAAACTAGCTCCAATTATTATAACATTAATACTCTGTTGCTTGTTCTAGATCTGCCAACTTATTGCAAACAGAGACTTTTACATAGCTGTTTAAATTGTTCTGCATTGCATTCAAATACACAATTTCTTCTTGGAGTGCAACTAATTTTTGTCAGTGAGTGTACCATCAACTTTAAGCATAATCTGAGTTATGACAAGACAATAGCACTAATGTACAGTATGAGTTTACTAACTTTTCAATTCAAACTTTAAAAATTTGCTTACCTTGTGATGAACAACCATAGAAAAAGCCAAAGGAAAGTTTGCCTCTTCTTTGCTCAGTGGAATCGGTATGTATTTTCTCTTTAATTTGAAATTTCTGTAACAATGTCGCTTGTCAGTACACTGAAAGCTCATAAAACACTGAATTACTAATGCATTTATAGTTTAAAACAACACACCTGCAGTCTTGGGTTTCATTAATGTAAAACTCATCAGGGATCTGAATTTTCTTGTGGAAATCTTTGGTAAGAGCCAGTAATTTGGTCTCCTCCAGTGCTTCCTTCTCTCCTTGCATGATTGCTGAACAGTTGCACAATTTTTCCAAGCCACCATCATCATCTGTGTACTCCAGCCATCTGTGCATGTGGATGAAACCAAGGTCCCCAGCTGTATTCAGCTGACCGACTAGATAAAGAGTCCACAGCGACCCCAGTGCAACTGTGAGCTTCAGTAATAGCTGCAGACAGCCTCGTTTCAGTGGTGGCATTATTTTATGAAGACCTCATCTAAGATCGAGGGAATTCTGCAAGCAAGAACACTATTCAGCAACTTTATGTGAACTGAACGATAACCTTTTTCTGCTTAAAATACCTGCGCTGGAAGTATAAAAATAGTTGTTTCAGAGCACAGGCTTAATAACAACTTGGTGTCTTAGACTGGTTTGCAAAAATTATGTTGAATTATCCAAAAGAAGTTTGGTCTCTTGTCATAAGGAGATGTTTTAAACTTATTTTACAGTAGACCCAGGATGTGTCACAGTTCCTGCAAGAAAAAACAAGGGGACAAAACAATCAATCATTGATCTAAACTTCATAATATCATAAAGACAATAATAGTTTAGCTGATGTTGACTTATTTAAAGTGTCCCCGCCTCTATATTAATAATAATAATAATAATAATAATAATAATTAGTTTTTCTGTGCCTAGTTTATCTTGAGGGCGACACGGTGGAAGAGTTGGTAGAGCTGCCGCCAATCAGCAAGAAGGTCACCAGATTGAATCCCAGCCAGGGGCCTTCTGGGTGGAGTTTGCATGTTCTCTCCGTGCATGCGTGGGTTTTCTCCAGGTACTCCGGTTTCCTCCCACAGACCAAAAACATGCATGTTAGACTGATTTAGTAACTCTAAATTGTCCCTAGAAGAGAGTGAGAGAGTGAATGGTGGTTTGTCTCGTTTGTCTCTATGTGTCCCTGTGATGGACTGGAGACCTGTCCAAGGGGTTCCCCACCTCTCGCACAGCGACTGCTGGATATTCGCATCAGTGAACCCCGTACTGAAAAGGGAAGGGGGGGGGGGGGTCTGACATTGTCATCATTGTATTGTTGGATATTATTTTTTATCTAGACTGCCATCCATCCATCCATCCATTATCTTTACCCGTTTATTCCATTTTGGGTCACGGGGGTCGCTGGTGCCCATGTCCAGCAATCACTGTGCGAGGGACGGGGTACACCCTGGACGGGTCGCAAGTCCATCACAGGGCCACATAGAGACAAACGAGAAACAACCATTCACTCTCTCACTCACACCTAGGGACAATTTAGAGTTACCAATCAGCCTAACATGCATGTTTTTGGTCTGTGGGAGGAAACCGGAGCACCCGGAGAAAACCCACGCATGCACGGAGAGAACATGCAAACTCCACCCAGAAAGGCCCCTGGACTGGGGTTTGAACCAGGGACCTGTTCGCTGAGAGGCAGCAGCTCTACCAGTTGCGCCACCGTGCTGCCCTTTATCTAGACTGGTCCTATGGTTTCGATCTGCTCAGAGACGGGATTATAATTAAATTATGACCCGGTTCTGACTGGGTTAAACTGGGCCAGCAACTCTAAGAAGAGTCTCCCTGGGATTCAGTATCTGTCAAGGAATAGAGTTTAATCTGCTTGCCACATCACGTAGAAAGGCTTTTGAAGCAACGTCTCATATTTCCTAACACATCAGAACCACATAAGATCCATTGAGATCACACTTAGTCACGCCCCCTCATACACTGACAGGTTGAGCTCCCCTTCTGCGAAGGAGGGGTCTAGGACCCTATAAATGAGTAATGACATGGAACATTGGGACTCTTCCGGGTCTGTGAACGCATCACAGACTGGAGAGACCAGCGCTGTAAACTGTAACCTTTTCCTGCCTTGATTTAATATAATTGATAAAACTTAATTGATGTTTCCTTGATTTATTGATAATGAGAGTTGCCACTTCTGAGGGAGATTCGGGGGGGGAACGTGGGCTGGAGGGGGTTTCCGGGTCTGGTGGCCTGCAGCCAGCTCCTGTCTTTAACAGTATGTTCCCATACAATGGTGAAATTAGTTCTCTGCATTTAACCAATCACACCTGAGATACACCCAGGTGGAGCAGTGGGCAGCTATGAAAGCACTCAGGGAGGAAGAAGCGAGTAAAGAAGGATGGGTGGATGGATGAGCTTTATGTTTCAGAATTAACAACACTCTTGTTGTTTTAATACATAAGAAAAATTTTTACAGAAGTTAAAAAAATACTATGATAAAGTCTGAACAATTTAATCTGATAAGCTCTTGAACAAAAAGAAAGGATTAAATTTAGGAAATATATGCAATTAATTTGTTAATTGTTCACACTTGGACAATGAACTTCAAGCAGTGTTCTAAGCAACTTGTTCCTAAATTTGTACACATTTTTCTTGTACAGGCTGATTTGCTTTTTTAGGTTTGCACAGAAATTTAGTTTGGGACTCAGTGTTGGCCAGATTAAAATTATTCATTTTATTTGTCATTTTATCCATGATGAGTGATTTTTTTATATATAATTGTCCTGCTGGTTACTTTAAATATTGGCATCTAGCAGCATATTTTTATTGGTAACAAACTTTGCTTTCATACATTTTTTATACCATTTTTCATTATGCATGGGATACCTTCTGTGCTTCTTTACTGTATTTTATTATACAAGAATGTAAAATAAGATCCTGCTGGTGCTTGTTGCACGACTTAACCAAAATGTGCAACCTGCCTTTATAGTCCTCTATACTTCAGCTGTGTTCATATTTTTGGCATTTAAAACAGAGTGGAGGATAGGCCCAACTGGAAAACTCAAGAAACCTATTTTGATTATTTCTGGTAATTTACCCACTTTAAATTACAACATTATCGACATACTTTGAACTCATTATCCATCAATGTTTCTTAATAATCTTGTAACTTTACTGACTTCTACATCACTAATCATCATCTAGTGGGATCCCTGTAATCACGCCCTTCATTAACTCTGCTATCTCCAATAATTTTCCTCTCTCACGTTCTTTTTACAGGTGTTTTCAATTTCAGTGACTTTATTTTTCTGCTCTTCAGCTTTTACAGTAACAAGCAAATATCCATCCCTAAGGATTTTTGCTAAATGTACTTCTTTTTTTAGTTCCTGTGACACCACTATACTTAACATTTTCATCCTCTTCCCTGAATTTTAGTTTTCTTCTGAATGTATCTCTCACCATCTTTTTTACAAACTATAAAACTTCTCTCATTGGAATGATTTTATTCTAAACTGAATTTTGACTTTTCTCGTTTGTCTTCCCTTTCCTCTCCCTCGTCCATTCACCTGAGACCATTCATTAAGGTCCCTGTCCTCATCGAGTCTCCGTTCCAGTCCTGTCAAAACCTGATAATGCTCAGTGCCAGATTCAAAAAGTTTCTTTGTCCGCCTCAAAATAATCATTATTGAAAAATCAAAAACCTTACCTGTGCTCCGACCTGTCTCCTCAACTTCACGTGTGGTGTTTGTCTAGGAACAGCTGCCAATTAAACACACTTCCTGGTAGTACTTTTCAAAATAAGTCTACTAATGTCTATCTAGCTAGCTAGCTAGCTAGCTAGCTATCTGATCCACTCATACACAAAAGTGATTTTGTAAAGAAACTGTGTCAGTAATGTGTACAAATATACTTAAACTGTTCTGTAGCCAACTCAAATGCAATAAATTAGCACAGTGATTTTTTTTCTTGACGGTTTAACATGAGAGCAATGCTTTTTTAATTTTTTTCATCAGCGCAATTTAAAGTAACATGCTTTTATTTTGAAAAGGAAGTTGTTTAACCGGAAGCTCTATGATCTAACTGTCTTTATCCTGGCTGGATGCTGGCTTGCTTCATGTGGACAGTGTCTGAGGCAGACAAACCAACTTTTTGAATGTGGCACTGAGGTCTGGTTTTGATTGGACTGGAATAGAGACTCGTGTAAATGAGGACAGGGACATTACTGAATAGTCTCAGGTGAATTTTATATATGTGAATTTTTCTGTAAAGTGCCCTGAGACAACTCTGAGCGAATGTGGTGTCAAGGGAACTAAAATAAAAAAGGCAGAAGATGAGTTCAAATTCAATAACGGTGGAATTTAAAGTGGGTAAATTCCCAGAAAGAATCAAAAAGGTTTCTTGAGTTTTCCTGTTAGGCCTTACTGTACATCCCTCCTCCACTCAGATGTTTTAAATTCAGGTGTACTGTAAAGGTGCCCGAGGTGTGAAGGAAATCAAATGTGAAGAATATACAGAAAACATACAAGAAAAGTGTAAGCATAATTGTAGAGGACAGCACAGGGTGAAAGATGGGCTGAGATTAGAAAGAACAGAAACACAACTGAAAGCAGTCAATATTAGTTATGAGAGGCTGTAAAAAAAAGTACAAGGACAGAAAGTTAGAGCAGAATTAAGAGTGGTAACACCAAATCCAAGACAGACGGAGCAGACAAATACAGAAGTTACAGTGGAAAAGATGTGATCAGCTGCACAGACCAAAACACAAGACAGAAATTAAGATTATTGTGAAAGGAGCAGAGAAAATTTTTAGAATGAAGGATGGGAGCACTTTAACAAGACACTTGGGGGAGATGGGAAACCTGGAACACCAGGGGGGAAGAGGACCATATGATCATCTTACAAAGGAACGCCAGGAGTTTAACAGCAAACGGACAGAAAGGAGCAACTGCCCAGGGGCCCACGATCTCTAAGGGGCCCAGGGCAGTGAGGGCACAAGCAAAATATCTGGTTATCTCCTGCTTTACTTGGAGCCCTGCGCTGCACAAACTGCTGCGCTTCCGCTTCATTTATGCAGCCCCGCCTCCTCCCAGCTGCTGCAGCTCGTTTTTTTTGTTTTTCAATCGGATCCTCGACGGCACGACCTGTCAATCAACTCAGAAGGCGTGTCAGTAACCGACCAATCTACGACCTCAATTTGTCCCGAAGGTAAACGCCTCTTACCTGCTGACAAGCTCATCAGTTTTTTTTTTCTTGAGAAACATTGTTTTATTTAAAACAAAAAGTTTGTATCTGTTGTGAGATGATTCTAGCAGTTTTGCAGATTTTTAATCTACTTAATGAAGAATAGTATGACTTAAAATCGTTCATCAAACAGGAACGAAGGCTTATTATCCCTCCTCTTACTACGGAGAATGTGGTACTTTGCTATAAGTACAACTATATTTATGGCATCAGAAAGCTGAGCTTCAGTTATCCACATAAAGTAAAATGGCATCAGCATGAAAAGAAGGAATGTTAAGTTTGAGATTAATCCAGTTTCTGATGTCTGACCAAACACTTTGGATTGACATGAAAAAAAAATTTCTCGAGGGATTCATCTTGTGATTTACAAAGGGACACAAATCAACATCAAATTTAAATTTTCTTTGCAGAAACATGGCTACAAGATATATCTTATTTATTATTTTAAAATGATTCTCCTTCACTTTAGGAGATTCAGGCCATTTGATAAATTTAGAATGAGCAGAAGTCATTATGGTTCTATGATTTTTATTAGGAGGTTTCTTGAAGGAATCTTTGTTATACTCAGTAAATCCTTTGTCGCAAACATTCATTGATCATCTATTTCATTTGAAGTCAACGAAGTTACAGGCATTTAATTTTAATTTGGGCATCAAATCGTCACCTTTGAATATATCCATCCATCCATTATCTTTTACCCGCTTCTTCCATTTTGGGTCACGGGGGTCGCCGGTGCCCATGTCCAGCAATCACTGTGCGAGGGGCGGGGTACACCCTGGACGGGTCGCAAGTCCATCACAGGGACACGAGACACCTTTTAATATATAATATTTTTAATTCATTGAATCAACTGTTGGTCAGTTTACTTCTTGTTGTGCCATTAGCTCTAAAATAGTTACTGAATCAAGTGTGTACTTCCATCCGTCCGTGGGGGTAGCAGCCTAAGTAGGGAGGCCCAGACTTCCCTCTCCCCAGCCACTTGGACCAGCTCCTCCAGGGGAACCCCAAGGCGTTTCAAGTGTTTACTTATGTAGGTAAAACTAGATGTTAAACAACCATTAAAATACACCAGAATGCAGGAAATGGCATCTACTTTATTCAAAATTTTCTGGGGGAGGACCCCCATTATGTTAATGTTACATATGCCCAAATTAGTGATGTTTTTTTAAATAATTTCAATTCAATTCAGTTTATTTATATAGCACCAGATCACAACATAAGTTATTTCAGGGCACTGCACAGAAACATTCATATATCCAAAAAGCAAGTTAACATATTTCTGAGGAGCAAATTGCTTTGAGTTAATAATATTTAATAATAGCAATGTGCTAGTATTTATATCCAATTGAAATTATTCCAACTTAAAGAAATAAGGATGTGTATTGATAAAAACTGTCACCTATTGTTTCTTTAGTGTATGTTTTGGGATGGTCTGTGATACCCACCATGCTGCTGGATTCTCTGAGGCATGGGTTCAGATCTACAAGTCCTCTTCTGTTATTCAGATAGCCAACTACCATTGATTTGCAAGGTGAGCATATAAACTTTACAACTGTTATAATTTATAATTATGCTGTTGTTTGTTGTCCATAATAGCAAGCTATATAACACACAATACTTATGACCAAAGCCTGCACCTTTCAGAATGTCATTCTTCTATTACTCTACATCTTATCCACATCTCTTACTCTTTACTCTACATCTTGTCTAAAAAATAATGCAGAAAAACTGGTTCATGCATTTGTCACGTCTAGACTGGACTATTACAATGGTTTGTTATCTGGGTGGCCAAATACTTCTTTAAAAAGTCTTCAGTTGATCCAAAATGCTGCTGCCAGAGTCTTAACTGGAGTTACTAGGAGAGATCATCGCTCCAGTTTTTGCTTCTTTCCATTAGCTCCCTGTCAAGTCCAGAACTGTATAAAAATCTTACTGCTTACATACAAAGCGCTCAGCAACCTAGCTCCATCTTATATTTGAGCTCTTATTGTTCCGTATATTCCTAACACTTTTGTTACAGTTTCATCCTTGACCCTCAGACCTTCAAAATAGTCTTTAACTTTGTTCTTCTTGCATGAACTGGCAACCTTATCCAATGGTAAAGTGTCTGTCTTTTCTAACACCGTGAAGTGTCACACCCATGCTGTGAACCAATCCTGCCAGTCATGGATTACATTGTACAAACAACTGGTGACAGAAAAAAAAAAGTGTCAGCTGCTTGTTGGGCAGATCCTTGTAACATATAGTTGATCACCACACCTAACAATGTTTTTAGACTTTTATTATTTTTACTTGTGTGTTACTATTTATTTAAATAGTTTTTATTTAATTGTTTGTTTTTATTGTTTCTTGTGTTTTGCTCCTATTTTCTTTATTTTATGTGTAGCGCTTTAGCTGTTTTTAAATATGTCATATAAATAAATTTGATTTGAATCATGCCAGTCATTTTACTCAAAATGACATTGTTACTATCATCCATCGATTATCTTCCTCTTGTTCTGTAGTCAGGTCACAGTGGCAGCAGCTTGTGCAGGGAGGCCTAGACATCTCTTTCCACAGCCACCTCTTCTAGCTCTTCTGCAAGGACTCCAAGGTGTTCCAAGGCCAACTAGACATAGTCTCTCCAGCATGTCCCGTGGTCTCCTCCCAGTCGGACATGCCTGAAGTACCTTAGAAAGGTGCCCAAGGATCATCCTTACCATGACTCATGCAAAACTTATTTTCAAGATCTCCACAGCAGAGATTGAATTGAAAAAAATAATCCAGATTTCACATACAGCAGAGATTGGATTGAAAAAAATAATCCAAATTTCACATACAGTATCTACACTGCAGTTATCATCAATGATAATGCAAATTACACCTGTTTTTTATTTTATATATTTTTTGTTAATTTGTCATCCCAGTATTTTCTTAATCTGAAATGTCTCTGTAGAGGTTTATAATTATGTTAGCACTAGTCAGTACTCCCCTTACTGATGTCTGACATTGATTTGTAGAATCAGAAGGAATTAATATTGTGCAGAGCACAAAACTAAAAGCTTTGCCTTCAGTTCAAAACGGGTTTTTAAAAAGATAATAAATATGTACAATAAAATCAAACATCTAACTTTAAAAGTTGCATAAGGTGCATATTAAAATAATTGTATCATACTGTTGAAGTACTAATAAATACAAAATACTAATTACAGTGACCACGGGAGTTACAGTGCTTTGTGAAAGGATTCGGCCCCCTTGAACTTTTCAACCTTTTGCCACATTTCAGGCTTCAAACATAAAGATATAAAATTTTAATTTTTTGTGAAGAATCAACAACAAGTGGGACACAACCGTGAAGTGGAATGACTTTTATTTGTTAAAAAAGTTTGACACATCCAATAAATAACTGAAAAGTGGGGCGTGCAATATTATTCGGCCCCCTTGTGTTAATACTTTGTAGCGCCGCCTTTCCTGCAGTTCCAGCTGCAAGTCTCTTGGGGTATGTCTCTATCAGTTTTACACATGGAGACACTGAAATTTTTGCCCATTCTTCTTTGCAAAACAGCTCGAGCTCAGTGAGGTTGGATGGAGAGTGTTTGTGAACAGCAGTCTTCAGCTCTTTCCACAGATTCTCGATTGGATTCAGGTCTGGACTTTGACTTGGTCATTCCAACACCTGGATACGTTTATTTGTGAACCATTCCATTGTAGATTTGGCTTTATGTTTTGGATCATTGTCTTGTTGGAAGATCCCAGTCTCAGGTCTCTTGCAGACTCAAACAGGTTTTCTTCCAGAATGGTCCTGTATTTGGCCCCATCCATCTTCCCATCAATTCTGACCATCTTCCCTGTCCCTGCTGACAAAAAGCAGGCCCAAACCATGATGCTGCCACCACCATGTTTGACAGTGGGGATGGTGTGTTCAGGGTGATGAGCTGTGTTGCTTTTACGCCAAACATATCGTTTTGCATTGTGGCCAAACAGTTCGATTTTGGTTTCATCTGACCAGAGCACGTTCTTCCACATGTTTGGTGTGTCTCCCAGGTGCTTGTGACAAACTTTAAACAACACGTTTTATGGATATGTTCGAGTAATGGCTTTCTTCCTGCCACTCTTCCATAAAGGCCAGATTTGTGCAGTGTACGACTGATTGTTGTCCTATGGACAGACTCTCCCACCTCAGCTGCATCTCTGATCAGTCTTCTTGTTCGAGATGAAAGTTTAGAGGACGGCCGGGTCTTGGTAGATTTGCAGTGGTCTGATACTCCTTCCATTTCAATATGATTGCTTGCACAGTGCTCCTTGGGATGTTTAAAGCTTGGGAACTCTTTCTGTATCCAAATCCAGCTTTAAACTTCTCCACAACAGTATCTCGGACCTGCCTGGTGTGTTCCTTGGTCTTCATGATGCTCTCTGCGCTTTGAACAGAACCCTGAGACTATCACAGAGCAAGTGCATTTATACGGAGACTTGATTACACACAGGTGGATTCTATTTATCATCATCAGTCTTTTGGGACAACATTGGATCATTCATAGATCCTCACTGAACTTCTGGAGTGAGTTTGCTGCTCTGAAAGTAAAGGGGCCGAATAATATTGCACGCCCCACTTTTCAGTTTTTTATTTGTTAAAAAATTTTGACACATCCAATAAATTTCATTCCACTTCACGATTGTGTCCCACTTGTTGATTCTTCACAAAAAAATTTAAATTTTATATCTTTATGTTTGAAGCCTGAAATGTGGCAAAAGGTTGAAAAGTTCAAGGGGGCCAAATACTTTCACAAGGCACTGTAGTGCATGTTTGCTTTAAGCGTAGTCATGGCTCTTTGAAGGACCTGTTCTCAAATCAGTCTGATGTTGTGGCTCCCAGGGGACAGCAGGTCATGCAGATGGTTCCTGGACAATGTCACACATCCCTTGGACCATTTCTGCAACTGTTATTTTCTTATTGAAAGTTCAAAATCATATTAGGCTAGTGATCTGATCCAAACTTCACATGAGGTGTCTAAACATCTCCAGGAAAATTACATTGTTTCATTTAATTCCATGTGCTGACAAAGCTTGCTTTTCTTAAACGCACTAAGGAAATGAGGGTGACAAAACATCTTAGTCTGAGCCTTTTATTTTAATCAGCACTTTTTGTTTTTGCCCAACCAAGACTGTCATCTTCCAAGTTACAAGTCAAACCGGTTGTGATGAAGCATCACTGTAGCTTTCATCCATGAGTGAAAACGTGGCTCTTTCTGAGTCCCCAAGTGTTCAACACTGTCCCCTTCTGATCAAAAGATTTAAGGCAAGAAATTGTGTTTTTTAGCTGTCATACTGTCTTTAAACCTTTATCTTACTTGAACCAAGCTTTGTTGTAAATCAGCTTGCATCAGTTGATCTCAACCCACCTGTTCTTTTTATCTGCTAGCCTTTTTGTTTTTATTTTCCTCTTTCCTACTTTTGGTTTGTTTCCCCGTTTTTCAGACAACAGTGGCGGACAATATTCCTGATATTCCAGTAAAAATCATTGTAAACACAGTAAGTAAGCTTTTCATTTCAGTCAAATGGGTAAGAGAAAGTGATCTTAGTAACACAATAATAAGGAAACAGAGGTTTTAATGGTTTTAAACACCGATGGTCTGGAAAGAAGTCTTCAGCTTTGGAAATTCGAAAAGAGGTGAGATCAAAACCACTGAGCTTTATTGGTATGTGACATCTTATTGGATAAGATTAAGGTCTATATTATCGTGAACTTGCACCATATTGGTTTATGTCTAAAAGTGCAAACAATTGTTTATTAAATATATTTTCTTCTTCTTTTTTTTTTTGTCTGTTAGCACAATATCTCATAAACCTGAATGGATTTTCATGATACACTCATGGAGTAATCACATGGTTAACTTTTGAAGTTAACTTGATTCAATATGGCTGCCATCTAATGTTAGCAAACATTATAAAAACTATAGCTCAGTCAAATGAAAAAAAGTTGCTACATTTTGGTGTGGTGGCAGCTGAGAGTCATCCCCAACTTCTGCTGAGCACAAATAGATCACACATCTTTGTTTGAAACTTGGATCTAAAACTAATCCAATCTAAAACTTCGATGGAGCTAACTCTGTCTGTTTGGTAACAAACTAACTTGTGAAACACTTGACATATTTCAAAGAAATTCTTTGAAAATAAACACTGAATTTTCATGACACCTACAATTCTTTCAAAGGCAAGTATGTTCAAGATGGCCACCACAGCCAGTTAACCTCAGCTACCAGAAAGATATTTATTTCAGGGAAACTGGGCTCAAAAAAAGTCTCCACCTTTCTGTGACTCAGTCAGAGCTTTGTGTCTGAGATATCTTTCCAAGCAGTAGACAGCAACAGGGTCAGTCTCTGTGTCAAACTTGTTGGCAAAGAGATGTTGATTTTGAAGCAGCCATTGTAGGTCTCCAGCTCCGTATACACATATTGACCTGATGTGGTTTCCTTGGCACTCTGGGTATAGTGCTTGCTTATCTGAGCCTTCATGCCACTGCCACTTCACCAGCCGCGCAAGTGCGTTAACGTCTGACTGGTCGTACTTAGGGTTGGGCCACTTAGAGCCAGGAACACCAGGGATACGTTGAATGGTTGCCCACAGAAACTCATCAGGACTGTAGGTGTCTTTGAACCACTCAGTGAGTGTTCCTATTCGAGTGTCTTCCAACACACTGCGGACAAAACCTCGAGTGACCACAATGTAGGCATTTCCTGATTTGATGGGCAGGTTAAAGGGAGGTGGATCCTTCAACTTGTTTGTTCTCTGAGACATAAAAAAGATGGGTATTAATGACAGTGAGCAGTGATTTAAATAATGTTAGATTGCCAGTTTTGTTATAAATGGTCTCTAATGATACCTTAACCATTCCGTTGATAATTTGATGAACGTTTGAAATCCTCCACCTCTTTTCTGCAGGCATGTTCTCTGACTCCAAGCTGTTACTGCCCCTCAGTGAACGCAGCATTCTCACCATTTCCAAGTTGGTTTTCAGAGGGAAGTCCTGACCACAAAGGTTGATGAAGTACTTCCATTTTGTACTGGCATAATAAAGATCAGCCATACAGTTCAGGTCAGCTTGTACACGTGGCCAACCAGCATAGACCACATCCACAGCCTGACTGACCAGGAAGACGTTGGGGAAACAGGAAACAATGGCTTGGATGGCTGCGGTTACAGAGGGCTTTGATTTTTTGTCCACATGGACGCAGTAAATATTTTGTGGTGCATAGATTGCGCGCAGAAGACGTTCAAAGTTCTGCACCTAAATAAAATAAAATAAAAATTGGTTTTGTTATTTTCATGTATATATATTTGAAATGTTATGCTTCATTTATTTATATATAAAATTAGAGGTACCACTTTACAGTAAGGCTCCCTTTATAAAGTACTATAAATAGTTCATAGATACGTTATTAATTCCTCTATTAACACTTTATAAATCATTAGTAACTGCTTATCATGCATTAATTAAGGGTGACAGAGAGAAAAAAACTGACCAGATACTTGCCAAATAATGAGGCAAATCTGTTCACCTATATATTTCATCTAGAGTTGTTATATTAAACATTTCAAACTAAGTTACTACCTTGTAAATGAGTCCTCGAGGCTCAAAGGGATTTACATGTCTAAATAAAGGTTGAATGAATGAAAAGTAAGCACAATAAGCATTTGTAAACCTATTTCTTAAATATTGTACTTTATCACTACATTATAAGTATCTACAACTAATATTATATCCTTAAAAATAGGTTTATAAATGCTTTTTGTGCTTACAAGGTAGTAACTTAGTCTGAAATGTTTAAAATAACAACTTTAGATGAAATATATAGGTGAACAGATTTGGCTCACTATTTGGCAACAAACTGGTCAGTTTTGTCTCTGTCACCCTTAATTAATGCATAATAAACAAATATGAATGATTTATAAAGTGTTTATAGAGGAATTAGTAATGTATCTATAAACTATGTATTAGCCATGTAAGGGAGCCTTATTGTAAAGAGATAACAAATTGGATTATGTAATTCCAATTCAAGTTTAGAAACTACGTTTAAACTTTACAGTCAATATTGTACAGTGCTTTGAAAAGTATTCACCCTCTTACAAAATTAATCATTTTTTGTCACACTTACACATTTCCGAACTTCTATCAAATGTTAAATTTCTGACAAAGATAACCTGTGTAAATACAAAATGCAGTTTTATGTGATAATTTAATTTATTAAAGCAAAATATTTTCAGGATTTTTTTTTTTTTTTTGGGGGGGGGGGGGGTAGAGCAAAATTTCTTGTTTACGTCACTTACCTGAGCCAGTCATTCCTGGAAAGATTCACCGCAGCTTCATGTTTTAAAATACCAGCTTTAGTTAAGTGATCTTTTTAATTTTTTTTATTTTACAGTCTCGCAGGTCTGGGTGAGGCTTGTGAAAATGAACTCAACTTTCCAAAGCAAATCAATTAATTCTTGATTTACCAAGCAGGCCATTATTTATCCGCGTTGGGCCAGGTTAAATACTGAATAGCTTTTTATTCCCCTTAATTAAGAGAATAATTTTTTACAAACTAATTTGTATTTACTCAGGTTATCTTTCATGGGCACCAGCGACCCCCTTGACCCAAAATGGAAGAAGCGGGTAAAATATAATGGATGGATGGACATTTAAAATTGTTTGCTTATCTGTAAGATTTAAGCGTGCCAAACAGAGAAAAGAATTTAAACTTGTAAAGAGTTGCTTAAGCTCTTTATCCCTGCTGTTCAGTTTGAGTTTCTTTTTCGATTCTGACCTTACCTTGTGATGAACAACCATAGAAAAAGCCAAAGGAAAGTCCTCCTCTTCTTTACTCAGAGGAAACGGTATATATTTCCTTTTTAATGTGAATTTCCTGTAACAATGTTGCTTGTTAGTATACTTATAGCTCCAGTTCAACATTATTTCATTAGTAATGTACACATACTTGAAGCAACATACCTGCAGTCTTGGGTTTCATTAATGTAAAACTCATCAGGGATCTTAATTTTCTTGTGGAAATCTCTGGTCATAGTCAATAATTTGGCCTGCTCCAGTGCTTCCTGCTCTCTCTGCATGATGGCTGAACAGTTGCACACTTTCTCTGAGCCACCATCATCATCTGTGTACTCCAGCCAGCTGTGGCGCTGGATGAAACCGAGGGCCCCACCTGTGTTCCGCTGACCAACTAGATAAAGTGTGCACAGCGACCCCAGTGCAACCGTGAGCTTCAGTAATATCTGCAGACAGCCTCGTTTCAGCAGCCGCATTGTTTCTAAAATGGAGGGACTTCTGTAACAAAATCAGGTGAAATTTATAGCTTTTTCAAAATCAAAATGATTTTTTTCCCATTTGTGATTATTTTTCTTATGTCACTGTCTCTGTAAACAAAGGGGGGGGGGGGGGGGAATAAAACAAAAACATTAATTGTTTCATAAAGTCTTAATGTCATTTTAAAGCAATACTTATAGCATAAGAAGGAAAAATCGATTTTAATATCACCAGGGACAAAACCATGATGCATTTTGTATCATTTTTATTTTGTTTTTATAAGAGTTAGCTTTTGAAAACTGGTTCAGCTTATTGAATGACAAATATAAAAAATATATTTGAAAGTCACGCAAACACAAAGTAAAAAAAAAAAAAAATCACAAAGCGTTTCACAAGAAATGTATTTTATATAATAAAAAAACATTTACAGTAAATTATTCTGTTAAATACATGAGTCTTTACAACAGACTTAAAGACAAATTGGTGTCAAAAGCCATGTTTAACAAGCTTTAAAGGCATGTTGTGTTTTAACAAAGGATTTTGACAGCATTCCTGCATTCCTTGTCTAACTGGTTGACAGAACATGTACAAAAGCTGAATTTCCTTTACGTTAAATCTAGTTTAGGTGCTTGAGGTTTCAAAGATTTTTCCAAGGCCTTTAACAGAACTGTGCAAGCTTGACAAAACATTTTCAAAGTAACAATACCGGCATCATAGCCAAATATTTAAGAGTTATAATGATATTTTTCTGTTTTAGCTGCTCCTTTCTTTAGAGATCGCCCAGTGAGTAAACACACACCAGTGATTTAGCGATTGTTTTACGCCGGTTGCCCTTCCTGACGTCACCTGGGCTCAAGGATCATGAAACCATAGCACTGATCGTCAAGCTACCACGGCCCCAATCATCAGTCTTTTTATTGATATTAAATAATTTTTCTTAGTTACATTGTTTGGATTTACTACATTAACTTTAAAACTAAGTAAAACAGGCATAAATCACACCAATATCACTGTCAAATACAAGAAATACTGAAAACCTTCTTACCTGTGACCAGATCTGAGCCTTGCAATAAGGAACAGTCACTCATAGATAAAACATTTCCTGTCAACGTTTTTCTGAGCTGTGTCTTAGTCCGGTTTGTTCACCTTTCACAGTGACCACGCCTACCCTCCAAACCCAACCTCCATTTTATTACTCTCTATCTGACTATGACTACAGACTGTTAGGAAACAGCTAGAGAACATACGCCTTAAGGCTGCAAGCTTCGATCACATCAGCTCCGAGTCTTGAAGTCTTGCATGACCAACTGTTTGGTGTCCTGCAGAGAGTCATCAACATGAGTCTGCAGTCAGCACTTCATCCCCAGTGCCTGTACCAAAGAAAGCTATCTGACCTAAATGGCTTCAGACAGGTTGCCCATACTTCAGATATCATAAAGACTTTGTGTGGTCCTGATCCATCTTGGATGAGTGGCAAAAAATAAATAAATGCTCTGAACTCTTTGCCTGCCAGCTCCATGGACTATGTTGTCATCCCTGTCTTGATTAGACAACTTGTTTATGAGCAGAAATACCATTCCTTTGACACAATATGGCCTGTGGTCACGTTTTTGTCACATTATACAAATCACATTTGTGAATTTTCATGGTCAGTGTTTTATAGGCTGAGTTTGACTTTGTGGCACCACAGGGTTACTGGCCACCTTTATGGGAAAAAAGTTGCACTTTGTCACATTAGATTGTACCAAGTGTGCCTATTTATGTTGACACACAAGGATTGCAGGATGATGTGTGTATGAGAGTAGTGAAAATGTTTTATTTTGCAGTTAAAATTGTAGAAAAAATACATGTCTAAACAGGAGAGGACAATTATTTTGTGTTTAATGGTTAAATTTTGGACTAAAAAATGCTAAACTGGTTACGTCATGAGTCTATACAGCTACAGTGTACAGTAGTCTGGGTAACTCGAGAAGATTGTAATGTAACCTGTTAAACAGGCCGTTCCATTCTATTGTTTCCAGGTTTTATTTATTACACACATTTTAAGGTCAGGACGACATTTCTTAAGTGGAGGAGAGTGTGAGAGATACAGACATTCTTGGAGTCAGATTTCAAATGAATATGCTGTTTAACTATTCAAAAGTACCAAACTATTTTGGGGTGTATGTTTAGTCTAAACAATTCATCTCTCTCTCTCTCTCTCTCTCTCTCTCTCTCTCTCTCTTGAAATCCTGTGACTAGCGTAATAGTATGGACCTTTACAAGAGATCCTT